TGTTCTCTGCATACCAATGGCTGGCGTTTCTTTGCTTCTGAGCTAGTCAGAACTACAGCAGTCCTCAAAATTTTATCCCTGATCTTCAGCCGATGCTGGGCAAGTGCCACTGGAGTAGAAATTAATATCTAAAGAGATGCTATTAATCTCTGTTTTGTGACACGATGCAGCTACCATAGGAATCACAAATACACATCAATTTGACCATATCCTTTCATGAACATCTCAATTTTTCACCTGTTTTTCCTTCACTTACCAAACTGGGTGATACATTAATATGTCTTTAATATTTTTTGACAGACCATACCCTGCTTCCTGTTCCGGCTCCTAGTGGCAGATCCATAAAAGGGTTAGCATAGTCTAGGTGATTTATAATAACCAATGTGTAATTTCCTTGCTACAGTGCATGTTTACTTAGAACATTTGATGGTTTACAGGGCTTTTTTAAGTAACTTTGTTTCGTTTTGCTTTTCAGTTGCATTATTTTGCTGTTCATGTCTTCTTCCTGCCATCTTACTGGCTTTCTATTCAGGTATGATTTTCTTTCTCTTTTCTATTTATAGAGAAAGAATTGTGCTAGCAGTTTGTGCCATGTAGACAGTTGTCCACTGGGAACTCAGTGCACTTTCTCCCGCATAGCAGTCACTAGTTGGTAACAGTTTTTGGCCACTACAGACAAAGTGACCTGCCTAAGAAGAAGTGAAAGGTTCTGTAAGACCCCTCTTATCCCTTGAATCACTGGGAAATTTTCCCAAAACACATATCTGAAATGACATAATATGCCAGTTACAGGTACTATGTGTAGTATAGTCAAACTATGCTCCATGTTTCCCTATCCATGTTGTACTCATGGATCATCCTCCTCATATCTGTCCACCACGCAATCTCCCTTAGATAATTCAAATCTTTAAACAGCTCAATTCCAAAATGTTGCTTTTGTCCTCTTTCATTTTATTTTATATGCTCAACCTGTTACAGGGAGCACCTCCATTTGCAGTAGCTGCTCTGACACATTTAACAGCACAATTATAGATGACTTGGTAACCACCCATTGACTAAAAATAACCTAGCAACTGAAGACACACTTGGGTATTTATACTTAGATATCCCAGAGGAACCCTTCACAGCTCCTGTAGCTGGGGAAAACATATGTATCTCACCAAATGCAGTAGGCTAGGAATCCTCAGGGGTGGGGGCGGGGGGACGTAGGGGAAGTGATAACATAGCACAGCTGAAAGATTTTCCAGACAACACTCTGCCAGCTAATCCAACTCTTATCCAACTAGCTCTGCAATTAAGGTTTCCCACCGAGAACAATGACAGCATTATGACCTGGGAAATTTTCTACACAGAAAAACCTCAGTGCATCTGAGATTAAAAAATTTAGAGCTTTAAAAAATCCAGTTCCTACACTGATGGTATTTGCAACCAGTACAGATCCCAAGGAACTATAGTGCCAGTATGCATATGAGAAAATATATGAGCTGTAATGAATGAACTAGCAGTGAGGAGGGAGCCAGGCAGCATATACTCTGTGAAGAATCTGCAGTGCTGAAACTCATTCTTGCCTTCCAGGGCAGAATTTTTTATTTATTTTTTTTTTACATATGAGATGTACCAAGTTTTCACACAACCTGTTCAGGAAGAAATATTTTAATGTCTGAAGAAAGAGGCAGCTAAATGATGTGATTTAATTTCTGTGATACATGACTACATATGATACGGCTGCCTATGGATAGTTTTATATTTGAGAGGAAAAAGAAACTCATAATTTAATTTAAAGAACCACACATATCTTAATGGAGAACTTGTATTACTGCAGCATCTGTCTCCCTACCCTTTCCTGCTCCCAGTTTCTTCTGGTTTGTCTATAGCTTTCATCTATTCTTGTCTTCAAATATGACTTCATTCACCTAAAAACACCTGAATAGTTAGGAATTTTCATCAAAAGGAGAACTCCTAATCTCAAAGAGAGATTGTACAATGTCTTAAGGGCCTTTCTACCTGCCTCCAGTTGTAAGATTATTGTCTTGAAATGATACCAGGGTGTTCAAGGCCAGGTTGGATGGGATTTTGAACAGCCTGACCTAGTAAAAGATGTCCCTGCCCATGGCAGAGAGCTTGGACTAGATGATCTCTGAAAGTCCCTTCAAACCCAAGCCATTCTATGATTCTATGATAATTCAGAGAGAGCATACAACTATTGAAACTCACAGTTAAGACTAGTGTGCAAGGCATAGGCTCAAGTATTCCCATGACTACAGGGCTATTCACAAAAATCACAATGAAATCGAGTGGCTTATCCTTATATTTTTTTTTTATATATTTTGAAATCATCTGGATTTTTAAACACTTTTCAAAATACAATTGTTTACTCCTAGGGAATTTAGTTATTATGCATAGTTTCCAGGATCAATTCTTGGAGGTCTAACCAAAAACTACACATGTAAAATGCCGTAACATTTAGGAAGTTCTTAATTGAGAATGAGACCCACAGAGAAAGCCATACTGAATAGACAGTAACTCCATGAGTCACATCACAGCAAACCTTTATGGAATGGCCAATAGCAGTCATTGTATGGAAAAGTTAATAAGCTAATAGATTTGTGATGTTTGTTGCTTCCTCTCATCTTATTGGAGGGGGAAAAATAAAAAAAATCCCGATTCTATAATGAATTCTACTGTACAAACTCATACTCACTGGCAACTTAACCAATAAGCTCTTTCATCCGTTGCTTGAAGTTTAACCAGAGAACCTTCTTTATATTTCTTTAGCTTTTGACTTTCCACCTCAAAACCTGGATATCACAAAAATTGATCAGGAGCTGTGCTCAGGCCATAATGGCCACTTTTAATTCTTTCCATTAGTGATTCTTACTGTAGTATGTAGAAAGGGGAGCTGCAGAAAAAGTGGAGAATATCCAAAACAAATCAGGCACCTCCACGGTAAGTTAGAACAGGTTCTGAATGCACGAGGAAAAGACAACAACTGCCTATGTAATGTTTGAGCATGTTGGGTGATATTATTGAGGGAAGAAGTAATCTTTTGTTCCTATTAGGCTAGGAGAGGGGAAACAAATATTTTTCAGACAAATGTTAAGTGCAGATTCTTTAAAATTATTCAAACCCTCAAATATTAACAGTTGAAAATTGTTACATGCACAAAATTAACAATTATTACATTTTAAGTAAGAATTAAAATGAGTTTACCACTATGGCACTCTTTTTTTTTGACCTGAAAACTCATGTTTTCAAGAGATCTACACCTGCATCAGACTGACATTAAAAGAGACACAGAATTTTATATATTAAGTTTCTTCTGGGTGTGTATTCAGACATACGTAAAGGTGAAATTGTTTTTAAATTTACAGTCTTTAATCTGAGAACACAAACTTGTTGGTGATTCTGAAATATAAAACAATCATTGTACAAGCCATTCATGTATAATATAGTCCACTAGTTCTTGATAGTAAAGAAAAAGAAAAATATTAGGAAGTCTCTAGCTATTATTAAATATGGCCAGTTAATACTAAATTTATTAGACAATTTTTTTTTCATAGGATGAAAATGGATTACTGAAACTTAATCTGAGATTTATTACCGGACCCTGTAGAATTAACACATTGGAGGCCCATCTATTTACACCTGAGTGTGACAATGGCAGGAGCTTCAGATTAATATAACCTTCTCTTGCATGCACAACCTATTCATTATTTGCTTGTCTGTTTGTTTTTGTAGGAAGCTTATTTCTTCTATTTACCAGATACCTCAGGAGGCCTATAACTTACTACAGTTAATGAAGCAGCTGCCACATAGCACCTTTTCACAAAACTTTTTGTGAAAAGCTTGTTTTAAGAGGTGAGCAACCTCTTTGGTTTTGTTTTAAATTATGCTGTTCTAATAATAACCATTTTTCTGCATGCTTACATCGTTTTAAAATAGAAAGCTTTAATTACAACATGAAATGGAACATGTAAGATTATGGCATGTAACAAAAAAGTCAGGTATTAAAATAGGACTGCTGGCACATGAGGAGTGACAGTGCACAGCCGTAACTAACTTCTGTAATAATCCTGGAGATAGTGTAGCTGATTCAGCTGGATTTCAGCTGGATAAAACATTACAAAGAGCATTATACAAACATTGTAAGAAATCCTTCTCTATAGCAGAATATACACTCTCCCTGGACACTGCTTAACCGTAAATAGAGGAGTGAAGTGGAGTGCCAGGTCCTGGGAGGTTTTTGCATCACACCTATGCTGGACTTTCCCAATCATCAGACTTATCAGCAGGCTATTGAATAAGAGATAGAAAGCTTTCTTTGATTTCTTCACTTAGTGCACACTCAGTGAAAGCCCCACATGAACAGCCCATGTCTGTACTGTCCTTACTGCACAGACTCAAGTTCACAAGCCCATATGTTTTCAGTTGCCTGTGGACATATATGAAAGGGGAGATGAGTCATGATAACTAATTGTTCCTGACTGGGGCATATAAGGTAATATGTAGATAGTAAAGATGATACAGGCATTACAGCTTGAATGCCAGTGTAAGTCTTAAACTCATGTATTGGTTAAGCCATGCCTGCACTAACAGCTTTGACCTGAAAGTAACAGTAAAAATTTGAGTATGATTTACCTCACTGGTGTACTAATATAGTGCTAATGTGACATTAGATTAGTATAATATTATACATCGAATGGCTACTATAGTAGAAGTAGACATATCAGAAGTGGGTAACAATGATTTGAAGTTTTTATGTACGAATTACCACATACAGATTATATACTGTATTTAGATTTTTTAAAATACTTTTACCTTTTCTTTTTTACCAAAAAAATGTTTATTTAGTTTTGTTTAGCATTTCAGAGGAAACTAGTGTAGTCTATTCTGTCCGTAAAGTACAGAATAATAGGTCAGTAACACAGTTTATAAACCATATGCTCTCAATCCATGCCATAGTGCTTTGAGAATGTGTCAACACTCAGCGATTTCCTTACCCAGCTCAAAAGCATCTTGGAAGCACCCCGGGCAATGTCTCATATACAGCCATTGAGGGTTATCCGCTCCAAAATAGCTGTTAAAATCTGAATGGAAGAACCATAAATGATTCAATTGAAATCATGTCTGAAAATGCAAAAGGAAACGAACACAGAACAAACTATATAACATCAGTGGGTCTAACAGCGCGCACACCTGAAGATTTAGAACTGAAGGCTTTGGTGTTTCCCCTTACAGTCACCCTACTGTATCTAACAGTTACTTTAAGATGCTGAGAATAGTACTCATAAAATTGACTCTCACTGATTTTTAGAAGAGTTTTTTTGCATCATTTCAGATGTAAAGTTAACCAAACACATCCAGTTGCATCTGACGTAAATGAAACTTAGTAAAACAATCTCTCTCCCCACTCTCTCCTCTTCTTTTTGAAAGAGGCTAAGTATTCATATCTTCCCTACAAAGGAGTTATAATATAGTACACAGCACTTACCTAGTTATAGCCTTCCTAGTAAAACCATGTTAAATAAGAACTTAAAGTCTAATGCCACAAAATTCTGGATCCAGATACAGCTTGCTTTTTGGATTTTTTTTAACTTTATGAAGAAACAGGGATAGAAAAAGAAATCTTTTCTTTTTCACAGAAAACTAATGGAATTCTATTAAATCAGAACAAATCAAATCACCAGAACACATGACAATTACTTCTAGAAATGAGGCTCTAGCAAAAATCAGTATACTTACTGGAATAATTGTTATGGTTAAAAAGGAGATCTTAGATTTATTTTGAATGACAACCACATTTTGTATTCTTTTTTCTTTGCCTACATGTAACAGATTTTTATTTTCTTCCATTAGGAACCACTAGGTTTTAAAATATTTTGTTTTCATAATCACTTCAGAACAATATAAGGGGCAATATGAGGAGCAGCTGTGTACTTTATGTAGTAAACTGAAACATCAAATAGTATGAGCAAGATAACATCTAATTGTGTATTAAGTATCACCTAGAGATCAGCAAGGGAGAAGTTATTTTGCTGAAGTAAACATGTGCAACTAGTATCAATTCTACAGACATGCCATAGGTAAGATGTTTATCAAAATGTAGTCTTATCGAAATAGATAGAATCAGTATATGACCAATGACCTCCTATTGTGAGAAACAGCTGCAATTTACTTTGCCATAACAAAAAGGCTTTACCCTTTCCAGATTACGTATCCCGCTGCTTCTTATGTAGAGAAGCATTCTTGAGAAGGCAGTGACAAAAACCAAGTAATGCAACTGTAAGAGCTTCAGTATGTTTAACTGCTTTATTTTCCTTTTCCAGGTATACTATTGAAGATGTGTAATCTTCTTTTTGACAGACACAACATAAGACAAAAATTCTTTCACAGAAATTTGAATTTTCCACTGTTTGTGGTGATAATATTTTTTTAATTAGCTGACTATCAGATCTGAAATTTGTAAACAGGTATCTTTTTTCTTATGAATTTTTTTTCAGACTATAGTAATCTTTATCATCTCAATTATTTTTGTGTCATGCACAAGATATAAAAATTCCATAATTTTTAAGAAGATAAAAGTAATCCTTTGAGTTACATTTTTCCTCATTTTGGTAGATATTTTAGTGTTGCTGCACTATAAAAATGTGTTCGTAAAGGAAATTTTGGTAACAAAGAATTTTACTAAAATAATGCTCAAGAAACATAAACATGAATAAACTAAAAATTCAAAAGACATGTTAGGGTATATAACAACTGAGATAAAACACTGGTTCACAAACAATTGTGAAATGAAGCTTCCTCTCCTTGACTTCACTGATACCTTTTTATTCAATCCTGCATCAAGTAATATTATAAAATTTGGAATTCTGATTAAGAATCCCCTAAAACTGGTCCTGCATTTACTGACAAACTGAAAGAAAAGACAGCTGTACCGAGTCTTTAGCTAAATCCAGAAAACAGCAATCCATCAAGCTGGGAGCAGCCTGATGGTTGTGCATTCAAGAAGATTGAGAGTTGATATTTGTGGGTCCTTTTGTAATAAGTTTTTACAACACTGTAATAGTATAGTTTACTTCTTTCTTTCATTTTTAGTTCTTCTATCCAGAGTGGTATATGTTATGTATGTATGAATACTACAGGATATCAACCCCATTCAACGTCAGTGCTCATAGAGAGAAGAAAAAACAAAAAAATAATTACAAAGCTTTCTTCTCCTGCATTGTGAGGAAAGTCTTAAGCATAGCTTAAACTAACAGTCATCTTGAGAAGCATTTACACTTTCACTCATATGGGAATGTTATGAGAAGCAATTCTATTCAGCACATATTCAAACAACAACAGTGGATGGATTTCATGGCAAGCAAGCAATCTCACGAATCAAATAAGACCTGTTCTCCTGTATGTTTACATCTCGTAATTAACTGCAATTCACTGATTTCCTACAGTTGGACATTTTTTAAGACCATGTCATTTCTCTGCATTTAATACAGTAGGAGAGGACATAGTATTTGTTCCCATCATTGGGACATTTATAAGGTCTCTATCTTCTAATGATCTCTTGCTTTCATAAACATTTTGGTTGAACTCAGCCCTCAAATTAAAAAGCTTTTCATGGAAGCACAACAGATGTCTTGTTTTCTGAGCCTCAAAAGCTGCATAGCCCTCATTTATTGTCCTCACTGACTGCTCATGTTATTCTAGATCTCTTACTTGCACAGTTTGTCTGCTGTCACTAGTTTCTACAAATAAAAAAACCCCAAGTTATAGCAAAACAAAATCTTTTATGAAGTCTTAGCAGAACGCTTTCCCCTAGACTGGAAATCTCTCACCAAGTCCTCTACAAAAGCCTTGAAAATATTGAATACTCTTTTTCTATTCCTTGGTGCTAATGTGCTGAACCCCATATTCAGATTTTAACACTGACCAGCACTCAGCCAGGCAGATTATCAAATCAAGTTAGAGTGGTTTACCAATTTACCTCACATCAGCACTAAAGCAATACCTTTTTGACCTGCTGTAACTGTGCGGTGTCTGAACCAAACACATGTGAGTGAAGGTTATTTCAGAAAGAAAGGACAGACTGAAAGCACAGCCTATAACCACAAGCGAAAAGTAGGGTAGACATCTGAGCAAACTGTTTAACCTTAAAGCCAATTAGGCAATGAAATGACTTGCCTGAGGAGGTAGTTTAGACAATGTAATGAGAAGTGTTTAAAATAGAATAAACTATTTGTGAGACAGATACAGATGTAAATAATCCTCCATGTTTTGAACTAGATAAATCAGGAAAGGTATCTTTTCTATTCAAATGTCTGACTATGAAATGGTATTCTCTTTCTTTGGGAACGGCTTTCGAACTTATGACTGTTTACACCTGTTCTGAATACTAAAGTGAAACTGCACTCCAAAAGGCAGTTTAACCTCACTGTATCATTATAAAGTAGATTTATTCATAACAAGCATCTATGAAAAACTTCCAGCAAAAAAGTCCTTAGTCAGGGAGATGCACATTGTTGCAAAAATGGATTGTTTCTCTAAGTGCTTATATGGCCCCATTGCTATAGCATCCAAGAGCCTTACAAACATTAATGAATGTATTCTCACAACACCCCTGGGAGATAGAGATAGTATTATTAGCTAATGCACAAAGAGTAGCTTGTCCAAAGTCACACAGAAAGTCTGTGGCACAGCCAAGACTCAAAACTGTGATTTCCTGCCCATTGCTGTAACCATGACTATATTCTCCTGCCCATATACAGCATTTCAAAATATGTTACATATAACCTCAGATCTTTACACAATAAGCCTTTCTGTTCAGCTGTAGATCCAACCACTGACTTAATAAAGAAAAATAACTTTGTTTATCGGGAAGCTTCATTACAGCAACAAATTTGCAGGTTACTGAAACAATGACAGTTATATGGACCATAACTGGTACTTATATATGAGAGCAGAGAAAGAGAATTCCCTGATCATCAAATTCAGAACAGGAGGCATCATATCCAGAACATGACTTTGATACCAAAATATTTTCCTTCAGATAATGTAAAGCATTACATTATACAGAGAAGTCTTGTTTTGAGAATAAAGGGAAGAAAAAAAAAAGAAAGAAAAAGAAAGGCTAGCTGTATTCCCTGAATAGTTCCTTTTGGATAAACTATTTCTGCAATAATAAGACACACACAGTATTTTCACTTTTAATGAGGTCAGATCTGGAGAGACAACTGCAGTAAGTGGATTTACACCTGAATATCAGAGAACAAAATTGGACATATATTTAATATTATAATCATGTAAATATATGATATCAAGATATATATATAGAGAGAGACAGATTTATTTTGGCAGTCAGATTCATTTTCATGAATTCAGAGATCTGATGAAATGATAACAGGATTCTTCTAAATCAGAAACACAGCAACTTGTCTTTATTTTGACAGAGGTGAAGCACAAGTATTACATTTTTCCAAAAGTGCTAAACAATTAAAAAAGAGAAAGTAGAGAACAACTGCAAATAATGGAAAAAGGTGTGAAGGTATAGTGGATCACAAAGTGAATAATGATCAAAAAAATACCCTATTGTTGTAATGAAGTGGAATTCATTGGCAGAAACAAAAGACAAGGTAAGTAGTGTCTCCTGAAGTTCTCATCACAGCACTTTTCACAGTTTGTGGTTTCATCTTTCAAGAAAGATGTAGATAAATTAGACCTCATTTTAATTCGAGCTACCAGTATAGGAAAGGGGATTTATATTAGATGCTAATTGAAAACAGCCCAGCTATCAGGACAGTTAAATGATGGACCTGTTTATCATTTATAGGGAATCCACATCTCAACACACGTTTAAGAACAAGTTAAATAAATACCCATTGGGGTGATCCTAATTCACATAAGAGAACAGATTGTATCCTCAGATCCATTTCAGGCTAACACATATATTTGATCACTGTAAAAATAGTACAAACAGTTATTCAGATGACTTATTGTCCAAGAATCCTTGTCATAGAATCTCTTATTCCCTCTCTCCCCATCCCTATTACTTTTTCTTTCCTCTTTTCTTTCTTCCTCCTTTCCTCATCAGGTA